GGTTTATCAGGTAACTGGAATTTGCTTCAACTAAACGAAACAGTTACAAGACAAATTCGCTGAACAGTCGTTTGTGCAAAAATCCCAGTCTGTCTCCTCGTCATATCATTACTAAGAGCTCAGTGAAGAGAAAAATCCTGCCAATAACCACACAAGTTACACCACGTGTAAATACAGACTTCAACTCATCAATTTAACTTCCTGGTCATGGTTAGAGGGTCTAGTGTAAACCCTAATTCAGCCATTAAAAAAAAAAATGTATACTTAATTGGCCACTCCCCATTGGGGCTTTTTAGGACCAATGTAAACAAACAATGATAAATAAATATTGAAATAAACATAGCTAGGTTAAGAATCCCAGCTGGGGGAGGCAGACCAGTTGGCTATTTACAAGCGTAGCCGAGAAGTTGAACTCGGGGCTACCGCCGGGGGCTACCGGAACAACCTCAACTACCGGTCAGAACGGGATTTGAACCCGGTACCTACGGATTTCAAATCCGGCGCTCTAACCACTCGGCCATTAAACTTGCAGAATTTTTTATTGATTATGTTCCTTTGTTTTTACAGGAGCTCATGGAGCATTTTCATCCTGTATTTCGGCACTTCTTTCTGGAGAGGTTCCCAGACCCTGCCGTGTGGTTCGAGAGGAGACTAAGTTACACTCGAGGAGTGGCAACATCGTCTATTGGTATTGTAATACATTTTGTTGCACAGTTTTAAAAGACCTGTGTTTCGTTTGTAGCGCGTTTGTAGCGAAACTCGAATGCATGCTCATAGATTACAGGAAATTCTCCGCAACGTGCTGATAAAACACCTAGAATGCTGTTGTAATTCTGGTTTGTCATAATTTGTTTCTCTGTAGTTGGTTATGTGGTTGGTCTTGGCGACCGTCACGTGCAGAACATCCTTGTTGACTGCAACACAGCGGAACTTGTTCACATTGATTTGGGTAAGGAGCAATAGGAAACATAGTTTTATCTTTAAAGACTACGTCACAGACAGAGAAACTTGAAAAAATAGCCGTTTTTTTTTTTCAAACTTGCCATATCTAATCCATAGTTACCTCGTTCAGTCGTAATCCTTGTTTATTGTCGCATATTTACTTCTTTGGTGTTTTTCTACCGAAGAAATTATCATTTCGAGGTTACAAGTGGTTCAATTTGAAAGTAGTTGGACACAATAATAGCATCAGTAAATTATTTAAAATACCGTGGCATAGCCCCTTTGACAGTGCTACACAGTTTAGCTTCAACTCAGGCTTTCAAACGTGTAGTATCCTGCTAGCAATGCGTTCTCGAGTTTTCGTAAGTTGGTTTAAATAATGGTCAATAGAGATTAAGACATGGGCGCGTGTAGTTATCGAGTGTTCAGCTCAATATCTCACGAGTGAATGCAGCGATTGAGAAGAGAAATTCCATATCTACAAGCAACCATGTATTATTTTGTTTATTTTATAAACATACTGAAAACGATGGTTTTGACCATTTTCTGAAGATTTCCTGCCACTTTCCGAAGATTTCTGAAGATTCTCCAAAAATTTTCCGAAGGCCACACGAACGTTTCCGAAGATTTTCGAAAATTAAGCTAAGAGAATAGTTCTTCCCCTGGATGGGATGCTAACCGGGATTATACTTCAGTCCAAAACTGTCCCTCGTTTTTTTTTTTTTTTTTTTCTTTTTCGATCTACATATAACAGAAAAGAAAAGAAACCAATTTACTAATCTCTTCACCACAAGCATGACAACGGCATTAGAAGTATATACAAGACGTGGTGTGGCCCAAGAACGCAAAAAGATTCACGAGTCTTCGGAGTTCATTTACCCACTGCGCGAAAAAAGTAANTTTTTTTTTTTTTTTTTTTTTCTATCCTAGGAGTGGCATTTGAGCAAGGGAAGTTTCTACCCACTCCTGAGACTGTGCCGTTTCGCTTGACGCGTGACATGGTGGATGGGATGGGGTTGACAGGTGTGGAGGGGGTGTACAGGCGCTGCTGTGAGAAGACAATGGAGGTCATGAGAACGTCACAGGAATCCCTTATGACTGTTGTGGAGGTTAGCTCATTAGTAGGCTGCAGTTATTTGCGCTGATTAATTTAATTTATGGGGCCCGCAGAATACATGCAAATCGGTCGGTCGGTCTGGCATGGTTGCCACAGACCAGGAAATGGTCAGAGAAAAAATTCTTCAAGGTCAGGGAAAAGTCAGGAAATTTTACTTTGAGTCAGGGAAAATTAACATTTTGATCAAAAGTCAGGGAAAATTGAAATAGTTTAACACGGCTGATTTTATACTATTGAGGGCTCGGCAAAAAATTTGGGCTCACTGTGATCTCAATGATATTTTTCCTTAATGAAGAAGGAAAATTTGTTGAAAACTTATGAGTCTTCATGAATATGCGGAAGGGACGGCTGTAAGCTGAGGCCAGAAGCCGCTACTAGATCTGATATTTTGTATTTATTTGGTCTGGGAAATTTGAATGTAAACTCACATTCCTCTTCAAACATACGGAGGGTTTTTCGCTATTTGCTTAACAATGCCTAGTGTCGGTCACTTATAATATAGTTGGCTCTGATATTAAATGAAGCAGTTAAATCCTACACACTTTTAACAATGGCCGCGGCCGCACTTTGAGATTTAACCGGGTTATTTCTTATTTAAAATAATTCAAGGTTAACTGGGTTACCGAAAAATTCGTTTCGGCTGTTCACTGAACTTAAACTGGGTTAACGGTTTAAGTGGAAATTATTTGAAGAGCAATAGATTTTTTAACCGAGCAAGATTAACCACCTTTGTGCGTGGTTAACGTTTAACCCAGGTTAGTGATCTCTTATCGGTGCCGTGTATTGGCTTTCTAGTGGAATGTGTCAGTCATAACGGTCTGTGTGTAAGATGTTATTCTCCGTGGCACAAACAAGTGCATAATCTTCTACTGAACATAGCAAGTGGTAACAACAGTTATAGAAACAGTTATATTACTCAAGCGGGTTTCTGGTTTTCTTGCCAATACCTATGCGTCGCCTGCTCCATATGAGTCAAGTTTGCAAGGAACCTTCAGGCCTGAACCATGGCCTGAACAGTAAGCGCTATACTATTCACTACATTCACCGCAAGCTGCTCTGAAAGGAGCGACAGCTCGTCAACAGGAAGCATCGCTAAGAGGAAGAGAAGCGTTTGGACAAATGCGAAGAGGACGTTTTAATCAACCTCTGCTGAGAACACAAAAGGACGTTAAATGGAAACGGCAGTTCGTAAAAATGGCAAGAAATGTAGATGAATGAATGAATTCGTGAACACAATGTTCAGTGCAGGGCATCATCCTCACATAAAATTGGAGCGATAACTTTCTCCAGTCCCAAGACGCCACAATCTAATTGCCACGCGCTACTCCATCGGTGCCGCTGCCCGGAAGCGAGTGTTTCTATTTGTCATGAATGGTGAAAGAATACACAATGTGCTTGAAATGACTCGATATTCATTTGGACGTGCTCTGTATGAAAGTCATGCATGGCCGGATTCCTGTAGATCGCTGATTTCTCGGATAGACCCAAATTCGAGGACGATTCATTCGACAACCTGAGTATCAGGCCTTTCTTATCAAGAGGGTAGGTGCTTCCTCCTCCTACCCCGCGAGTAAGAAAAGACTGATACTCAGGCTATTAATTCGACGGCGATGGAGAACACTCCGACGTCTACGCGAAGTCAACATCATATTCGAAAAAACTGCCTTGGAAATTTGTGTATTGCGCATTAGAAGGAAGGGGGGCTGCCTTAGCCGTGAATGTAGAGAAATGAAACGAAAACAACGAAAGAGAATCTAGAAAATGAGACCTTAGTCCTCGAAGTCTGTCAATGGCGTCATTTGAGTTCACCCATAACCTATTTCAGTGCGGCTGCTCCTAAAATATAACCCCGCTGTTCCATCATAACCAACCTCTAACCGAGTTAAGTTATTTGAGCATTTTAACAAGGTTTCTAAAAAGTTAACCCAGTGAACTTTCTTAGTGCGGCCGCAGCCAAAATTATTGCATTCCGAAATTCATATAGAACATAAACATTCAATTCTGTTTGGCTAGGTTTTGCTCTATGACCCGTTATCATCATGGACACTGGGTCCAGAAAAGAGAAAAGCTCTCCAACAGAAGGCCGAAGAAGATGATCTACCTTCCGTCAGTGCTGTTGGGGACTGCCTGGATTCAACGACAGCCACTGAAAATCTCGCCGTCGAGGACAATGTAAATAAGATGGCGAAGAGAATGCTGTTAAGACTCAAGCAGAAACTAGATGGTGTTGAAGATGGTGTTCATTTGAGTGTGTCAGGACAAGTGAATCACCTCATACGCGAAGCCATGGACCCTAAGAATCTGTGTCGCCTCTTTCCTGGGTGGCAGCCATGGGTGTAAACTGACGTGCTCCATCTTCACTGTCACTCAGATACTTGTATTACTGCCTAACACCTTCAAAAATAGGCATTGATGGGTGTGGTCTCGCTGTATGCTTGGCAAATGATGCCTAACCTTTCCAGTCCAGAAATCGGCATGAGAACTCAGACAACTCTGAACTTGGCACTCAAGAAGCTTAACGCGCTAAAATTGTTCTAGTTAAACTGAAGTAATTCCAGTTCAGTTGATTAATCGTGGTGGGTTTTTTTTTTTT